GGGAGGAGAAAGAGATTGGATTTATACCTTCCCCTTCCCCTAACAGACACCCTGTGAGGTAGGTGGGGCTGGGAGAGCTCTCTCAAGAACTGCTCGTGAGAGAACAGCTCAGAGAGAACTTGAGACTGACCCAAGGTCACACCAGCAGCTGCATGTGGAGGAGTGGGGAACCAAGCCCAGTTCTCCCAGATTAGAGTCCGTGCTCCGAACCACTACACCAAACTGGAAGGAGGGTACACATGGACAGGAGAAAGAGGCGGGTGGGGAGCAGTGTTCCCTCTGAGTTAGTGTGTGCTAGCTCACAGATTTTTGTCTTCGCTCAGAAAGGAGGGCTCCAGAGCAAACTAATTTATGCAGTAGCCAAACTGCTCGCTCACAGCTTTAATGCCAGCAGCCCACAAAGTACAATTTTTGCTTACAAGACTCCACAGCTTAGAGGGGAGTGTTGGTGGGGAGACAGAAGGTGCCGAAACGGCTGTGTGGACGAGGACAGAAGGCAAAAAGGGAGGGCAAGCAGGCGCAGTCTTAACAGCTGGAAGGAAGAAACTCCAAGCAAGCCGTTGGTAACCCAGCAGCAGCAGAGCTTCCTCCAGCCATAGTTCTGACAAGAGCTGTTCTTGAAAAAGAGCACTTCCTGTCAGAGCTCTCTCAGCCCCACCTACCTCACAGGGTGTCTGTTGTGGGGAGGGGACGGGAAAGGAGTTCGTAAGCTGCTCTGAGACACTTTTGGGTAGTGGAGGGCGGGGTATAAATCCAATCTCCCCCCCCCCTTCTTAGCAGGAACCCTCGTTTTGTTCCCTGCATTTGATGGCTTCTCTGCTGTGTGAACACTTCGATGTGAAGACTTCCCCCTAGTGTGAATTCTTCAGTGACAAGTAAACCTTGCACTCAGACTGAAACTTTCCCCACATTCCAAACATTTTTACGCTTTCTCCCCTCTGTGAATCCTCTTATGTTGATCAAGGGCCGATTGATGAGAAAAGCTCATGCTACAATATGAGCAATTAAATGGCTCTCCAGTGTGAACCCATCGATGTGAAGTGAGGCTTCTTCTCTGACTGAAACTCTTCCCACACTCCAAGCATTTATATGGCTTCTCCCCTGTGTGGATTCTCTGGTGTACAGTTAGGTTGCTGCTATTAGAGAAGCTCTTCCCACATGCCAAACATTTGTATGGCTTCTCTCCAGTGTGAATCCTCCGATGTTTATTGAAGAGGCTACCGTGAAGGAAGGCCCTTCCACACTCCAAGCATTTATACGGCGCCTCTCCTGTGTGAATCCTCTGATGTTGGCTAAGGCTTGATTGAGAAGAAAAGCTCTTGCTGCAATGTGAACAATTAAATGGCATCTCCCCAGTGTGGACCCATTGATGTGAAGTAAGATTCCTTCTTTGTATGAAGCTCTTCCCACACTCCAAACATTTGTATGGCTTCTCCCCAGTATGGATCCTTTGATGTACAGTTAGGTCCCCATTAGAATAGAAACTCTTCCCACACTCCAAACATTTGTATGGCTTCTCTCCTCCGTGAATCCTTAGATGTTTAAGGATTTCTGCATACAACCTGAAGCTCTCTCCACACTCCAGGCATTCAAATGTGAAGCTCTTCCCAAACTCCAAGCAGCCGTACGGTTTCTCGCCTGTTTGGATCGTCTGGTCTTTCTTAGCACTGGATTCGCAACTGAACCTTACTCCTTTCATGGGGCACTTATTCCTTCCCTTTTCTGTTTGCTTTTGGGCTGGGATCTCGCAGACATCTCTGCCCTGGAAGGCAACCAGCTCCTCCCTCCCCTTCTGTTTTCTGTCCTGTGTTCTTTTCAGCGGCCTTGGAGTTCCATCTCGATCCCAAGGTTCCACCTCCAGAGCCTCGTCTCCTTCTGAAGACACCCCTCCTGGTTGCCCCTGTCCCTCAGTCGCTGGTGCATCCCCTGCTGGAAAGGAGAGAGAGAAATCCAATAAGAGCTCCAGGAAAGCAAGGCCACTCAGGACAGCCTGTCGTTACCAAATGGTAAAGTAAAGGTAAAGGTTCCCTTGCTCGAAAGCCAGTCGAATCCGACTCTAGGGTTGCGGTGCTCATCTCCGTTTCCAAGCCGAAGAGCCAGCACTGTCCGAAGACGTTTCCGCGGTCATGTGGCCGGCATGACTAAACACCAAGGTGCACGGAACGGAACGCTGTTACCTTCCCACCGAAGTGGTCCCTATTTATCTACTTGCAATTTCTTGCTTTCGAACTGCTAGGTTGGCAGGAGCTGGAACTAGAGACGGGAGCTCACTCCCTCATGCGGCACACCCGGGTCTCGAACTGCTGAACTACTGACCTTCCACAGCCTGCAGTTCAGCGTCTTAACCACTTGAGCCACCGCAGCACCAAATGGTACTTTCCAAAATAAGAACTGGAAGCCTGGAAAAGCCTCTGTATGACCACAAGGGAAACGGACAGCCAGAGGAAAAGGTGAGTCAAGGGACCGGCAGGGCAGACCAAAGAGGAACCGCTTCTCTGCACCTGACAGGCCTCTTGCACCACCACGGCATCTTCGTGCTCCTACGTTTGAGGAGATTTTGTCCCCTGGGGACAGCAAAGGAAAAGTTAGTCTTTTTTTTTGCCTCTTTAGAAACTCCTCCATATGCAAAAATGTCCTCACCTGTCGAAATTGATTTTTATTCATTTATGTGGAAGATTTCCACGCCACCTCTTCAGGGAACCTCCCCGTAAGGCGGCTTACAAAATAAAACGTTAACAAAACCAGAGAAGTTCTTAAAATACCGCTCTCAAAAAACCCAGGTAGAGCATCTAAAAGCAAGCGGCAGAGCATCTGAAAACCGAATTTAAACATTCCTTGTTTAAAAAGAGGAGATGACACAATGATTTTTTTTTTTTTTAAACAACCTTAATTAAAAGCTTGGTTCAAGAGAAACATTTTGGCCTGGCATCTAAAAGAAAGTAGCGTTCGCACCAGGCAAACCTCAAGGGAAAGGGCATCCCACCGGCAAGTTGCCAACCCTGATAAAGGCCTCTCTGTGGCCGTCACTCACTCGAACAACGTTAAAAGGAGGGCGGAGCTTGGGAGGAGGGGTTTAGCTGGTGGGCTGGCCAGGAGGGGAGGAGGCGGTCTTTTCATGTAACTTGGCCCCAAGCCATCCAGGGCCATATTAGGTAGGAACCTGACCTTGAAATTGTGCCCTGAACCAGCACTCAGCACAGATCTTTTAGCACCAGGGTGATACCAACCCTGTATCCTGACCCTGACAGGAGCCTGGCTACCCCCATTTAGATCCAGTTGAAGTTTCCAGACTATATTGAATAACCATCTCAAAAATCAGTAAGCCAATGAGCACCGTCGATTCCACACGGTATATTTCACCTGTTTTGCTTCTGTAGTAACAATCCACTGGGAAGCCTGAGGAATTGGGGTGGGGAGAGAAGGGCTTAGGCAATTCCTACCCCCACCCCAAGTCTCCCGTCCCAGGACGCCATGGGAAGGGGGTGCAGCCTAATGACGCTTGGAGGAGGCCTGGCAAAGGGAGGCCTTTGGAAAATCTGAAGCAAGGCCTGAGGCCCGTATGTGAGGGAAAGCCTGTCCTGAGGCCGACATGATGCACCACTCCTTAGCCTCAGGCCTAGGATCATCACACAGGAGAATACAACCTCATCTTGCCACAAAGTGCAGATCCTTCCCGGATAGGCCGTGTTAGTTCCCCTGAAAGAGCCCCCAAGGATTCTCCCTCTCACCCAGTTCAGTTGGGAAAGAAAGGTCCTCTTGAGATCTTCCTGGTAGACTCTCCGGCGCTTCTTCTGATGCAAGGCCATCCTCTGCTCTCCAGGTCCCATCTACTGGGGAGAGAGAGAAAAAAGGGAGGATACTGGAGAGGACTGCGTGATTACCAGCATTCAAGGAGTGTGGCCCCTCTCTGAGATCACATCTGGACCTGTGTTCCCTCTAAGCTGAGTGAGTGTGAGCTAGCTCACAGTTTTTTTAGCCTCTGGCTGGCCAATTTTTGTCTTGGCTCAGGGAGGATGGCTCCAGAGCCAACTGATTTATGCAGAAGTCAAGTCACTTCCTCACAACTTTAATGCCAGGAGCTCACAAAGTAGAATTTTTGCTCAGAAGACTTTAAAGCTTAGAGGGAGCATTGATCTGGACAGGGGCGGATGACACTGTGTTACCACCCCCGTTAGGAAAGCATTCCCTTTAAAACAGACCCATGGAAATGAAGAGTGTTGTTCCAAAAATCCGCCTGCAAGACGGAGCTCTTCCGCCAGGCTTTTGAATAGGAGCCGCCACCATCATTGTTCCACCAATGCCCTATGATTTCCGCATATTGCCATCTTGATGTGGGCATCATTGGAGGGAATGGGCGTCTTTTAGGGGACGGTAGGGCAGTGGGATATGCACTGCTGTAGTTGTCTAGCTATGTTACTGAGAACGCCATCTTGCTTTTAAATATCTTAACATCTGGAATCGAATAGAGGAGCACCAAAATTGTTTTAGGATGTTGTTTAACTGTTTGTTAATTGTCTATGTGTAATTTAACATTTTATATTGTTTTATCTGGCATTATGCCCTGTTAGCCGCCCTGAGCCTGCGGGGAGGGCGGGATAGAAAAACACATTAATCGTTAAACCACAGGGCTGCATTGAGATGACGGCTCTCTCATGTAACCACCTCTACAGGTAAATCAGTGCTTTGACTGAAGAGAAGTCAGAAGTTTAGTGTCAAGTGAAAACCTTGTATCCCGGACAAAGATCACTCATGTGACTGTCATCTTTTCAGTTATTTTACTTTAAATGAATCTAATTACTCTTGATATGATTAAACGTGGAAGAATCACGTGGAAAAAATACTTTCGTGTGTCAATGAAAGCAGAAACAGAAAGACCTACATCTAGCTATATGAAATCTGAAAGACGAAATACAATCTCTAAGATTCTCAAAAAGGGGTTTTCAGAATGTGCAACCTACGTCTGAGAGATTCAGAGGCGTTTGAGGTGTGACTATCTTATACAGGCCCAGTTAGTTGAAACTCATATGAGCAAAAAAAGAGCAGTTTCTGTCAAGAGCTCTCTCAGCCCCACCCACCTCACAGGGTGTCTGTTGTGGGGAGGGGAAGGGAGAGGGGTTTGTAAGCCGCTCTGAGACACCTTTGGGTAGTGAAGGGCGGGGTATAAATCCAATCTCCTCTTCTTCTTCTTTATCAAAGCCATTTAATTTGTCTCATTTGAATCCATGATCTAAGTGTCCCAAGCAATGTTCCCTCTAAGCTGTGGAGTCTTGTGAGCAAAAATTCTACTTTGTGAGCTACCGGCATTAAAGTTGTGAGCGAGCGATTTGGCTACTGCATCAATTAGTTTGCTCTGGAGCCCTCCTTCCTGAGCAAAGGCAAAAATATGTGAGCCAGAGGCTAAAAAACTGTGAGCTAGCTCACACTAACTCAGCTTAGAGGGAACACTGGTCCCGAGTTAACTTTCTCATAAAAAATACATGTGAGATCTGTTCATTCCTTACTTGGTAAAATTTATTGATGGGGATGCAGCCATCTTTTCATGCACTATCTTTTTCAAGGATGTAACAGTGAGAACTTTGTGAATGGGGTGAGTGTGTCTTTCCCAGAAACTGCCAGGGCTCCTTCTCTCCAATTGTCTGTATCATTAACAACCTCAGGGCCACTGAGAAAGTCAATGCATTGGAGGAAAACCCAGAGGAGGAGAGATCCATCATGGGGCCTAAGTGAGCTGGTCAGGATGGCTGGGGTCAGAAAAGCATGGGGAACTGTAATTTGGAAGACTTGTTACCTGGCCTGGATTCATTACAGACGCTCCCTCCTCCCTTCTCTCCCACATTCAGGATAAAAGGGGCCAAGATCCTTACCCAGAGAGGCCACCATCTCGTAATTCTCCCGCATGACTTCCCAGTACAGAGCTCTCTGGGCCAGATCCAGCAGAGCCCATTCCTCCTCCGTGAAGAACACGGCCACCTCCTCGAAGGACACTGGGGGCCCTGAGGGAGGATTTCCCCCGTTCATCTTCTCTGACTGTCCCTGAGTATTCACAGAAGGAAGCAGAATCCAACAGGCGAGTCATGAGAAAGAAATATACGGGATACATCAAACCAACAGCAAGAAACATTCAAGGTGTCTTTTCAGACTCTGAAAAGTATCCCAGCAGTTAGGTGTGATGCCTCTGTACTAAATGGAATGTCACGGTACTCAACAGATCACAAAGTGACTTGGAGAAATCATTAGGGACTGTGGTCTGTAGCACTGTGCGTATAGCTTGCTGAAGCCAGGATCCTACTTGGGAATTTTGCATCATTTATTCTGTCCTGTCAATACTTAAGCTTTGTTTGAGTTTTGTTTTAAGATTTTTGGTTAGTTCTACAGTCCCTAATCCTATTGCCTTGTCTACTGAATATCCCACTCGTGGACTGTATTGACTCACTTCCCGTAATCCACCTCTGAGTCCAAGTAAGAAACAATGTAAATAAATACCCAAAATGAATGAATGAATGCAATCTGGGAAAGCCAGAGAGGCGCTGTCTTGGGACAGGACTCCACACAACACGGCTTCACAGAAGCACCACTACATAGATTGCTCTTGGGTTCAGTTTGCTTCAGAGCTGCATGGAATCCCAAGGGAGCAGATACGGGCTGACTGTTCCCCTACCTATAATAACCTTTTTTTAACTGAGGGAATAAATGAATAAATACACTCTGTCTTCAAGAGAGAATGCTGGCCAAAACCACATTAGCAGCCACATGGAAATCCACGAGTAGGCTAAATGTAAACCTCTGGTACAAACAGCTATAGAACCTTTATATAATGGAGAAAATCTCAGACATGCGGAAACAAAATCTATCTAGAGGTGGTCAGAATGACTTTGTATGTATATGGTACCCCATACTAGTGCATCTACCAAAGAAATAGTGCCTGATGTAATAAACACTCTTCATCTATGGTAATTTTCAAACTGTATAATATCGACAAACTGTATGAAATGTATGAAGCCATTGAAAGCTATGCTCATGCTTATCTTGTAAATCATTGCTGTTTATCAAAAAGAATTAAAATTATCTGTTGAGAGAGAGAGAGAGAGAGAGAGAGAGAGAGAGAGAGAGAGAGAGAGAGAGAGAGAGAGAGAGAATGAATGCTGGCAAAAAGTTCTGCAGTGGTGTTGAGAGAAAACCCTTAAATCTGGGAACTCAAGCAGGTGAAGGGTCGGGAGGGGCCTCACATGGGGGCACCTGCCTCCACATAAACACCCGTTCTTGGCGGTAGAAAGGTGACAGCTCAAGAAAAAGGATTCCAGGCCAGCCTTCCTGAGGGGCTAGATTTCCGTGCGCAGGGAAGTCTGGGTGTGGAGCAGCATCCCAGCACACGAGGCCAGCCGGCCGGCCGAGAAGAAGAGAGCAGAAGAGGACCCAGAGGAAGCGGGAGAGGCTGCCTGCCGCCGCTTATCGGGAAGAAGAACCGGAAAAAGGGGAATATTCTCCCCAGCCGGACAGCAGGCGGTGGGGGAGGCTCCTGAGCTGAGCTGAGCCACCGGACTGGGACTCAGGGGGGCAATTCGCAGCCACCCCTTTTCGGAGGGATTCTTGCCCTCTCTGACCCACCCGATGAGCCCGGCCGCTTTTGGCTCACTGATCGTGGGAAACGGGAAAAGTCAGAAATAAATGCAGAGACCAGCCGGCCTGGAAAGATCATCCCCTCCCATTCCTCCCCCGTCTGCCGAGATCTTGCTCCCTCCAAGACGCTCTTTCATTTCGTGCACGATTCTTCTCCGCCCCGCCCCCCTTTTTCCTGACCCCAAATCTCTTTAAAGAGTCATAAATGCACCTTTCCTGCGACCGCCCAGAAGCCAAATTCCTCCCCCGACCTGGGGAAAAAAAGACCGAAGAGGAGAGGCGTCTTAAACTTCCCTCCGAGGAACACCGAGGGGCCGCTCCAATCCGCGTCTCTCCACTTTCTTGTCCTCTCTAGGAACTGACCAAGCCTACACACAGACACACCTCAGTGATGGGGATTTGTTCCATCTCTCTTCCACTTGCAAGGCCTTTTGGGAACTGTAGTTCACAACAATGGAAAGCAAAGATAGTAATGAGACACACACACACACCCCCATCAGCTTCTGGCTCTTTTCAGATTCCTTCTCTGCTTCCAGGAAATTTGCACACGGAAGTTAGTCGGTCTCTCTCCATGCCGTTAAGAAACCAGGAACATACTTAAAAATCCAGAGAAAGACGGGAGTGGAGGGGAACTGAATCTTTTTTTAAAAATGAGGGTAGGGTGAATACATGCCCCATGCATTTCAGAAGAAAAGCAGAACCCAACTGGATCAAACTCAAGGTTTGTCTCATCCCACAGTGGCCAGCCTCATGGGTCTGGAAAGCCCAGCCAAGGGGATGGAGACAACATCAGCCTCAGGGAGTTGCCCCCAGCATCTAGGAGTAGACTACCCCTGAACGTGAAGGATCTACTTAGCCACCATAAGTAAAAGCCATTGATGGGCCTCACCACCTCCATGAATCTGCCCCATTCTCTTTTAGCCAGTTTGGTGTAATGGTTAAGTGAGCAGACTCTAATCTGGGAGAACCGGGTTTGATTCCCCACTCCTTCACATGCAGCTGCTGGATGACCTTGGGCAAGCCATAGTTCTGTCAGAGCTGTTTTTGAAAAGAGCAGTTTCCGTCAGAGCTCTCTCAGCCCCACCTACCTCACAGGGTGTTTGTTGTGGGGAGGGGAAGGGAAAGGAGTTTGTAAGTCGCTCTGAGACACTGAGTGAAGGGCAGGGTATAAATCCAATCTCCTCCTCTTCTTTTAGAATAGTATAAACAAGCAGCAGTCACGTCTTCTGATTGTTAGTTCACTTGCCATAAATTGGCTGTACAGTATGTGATGTAGGCCTTCTCTCTGTCCTGCGCCTGCCGCCAATCAAGAGGGTTAAGGATCACCAAAGTACTCATCGCTGTCTCTCCCCCTTTCTCCCCTGGCAGCTTCCCTACTATAAGGAAAGGCATCCTAGCAGGTGAAAAATGCCTTTTACCTACAACCTCTCCTGTTCTCTTTGGGTCAAAACCAAAACAGAAGTAGTGGCACTTTGAAGAGTTACAATGTTTATTCCAGTATTTATTCATCTGCTTCATTTTCGCCAAGACCTACAGTGTAAATCAATGCAATGAATAGGACGAGACCTCTAATAAGCGACGGGATAGGACTTGATTCCAGTAATCTGAAAAAAGCACAGCGTATTAGACACGCAGTATTAAGCCATGCGGAAAACGGAATGTTTGTAGAAAAAGGATTGGCAGGAGGTAGCTAACACATACAGCAGACATACAGCAGATGATGCCTGCTATGTGTGATCTGTGGTTTTGTGGCTAGCACCCAGCTTTCCTGAGACAGACCTCAGACAATGGGGTGTCCCTGGTTTGTACTATCTCTGTCAGAGTGTCTGGTTACACAGACGCAGTCCTCAGGCCATATGCCATCAGCACTCCAGGTTATTCAACGCGACTTGAGTTCCTGCGGAAATTACGGTCTATTAACAGCCTCCCAAACGAATACGGGTGGGGGGGGGCTGCTGAGAGGCTGTTAGGATGTGTGGGGGACTTCTTTGAACTGAAATAAAAAGACAAAGGACCAGCTTGGGCGGTGGTAGAAGCTGGCTGAATGAATGACCTTCTTCTCTGGACAAGGCAGGATGCCTCCTTTCATTCTGGGCGAAACTGATTAATTTACTACCATGTGAGAAGGGTGTGTGGCTTTCACAGGTATCCTCCGGTTGGAGTTAAAGTAATCACCAGGCATTCAAGCCAGGACCTTCAGAATAGGTGCCTTGGTTGGCATTTTATTCATGTACGGCTAGTTCTGTTTTAACGGCAGAGAATACGGTTTCCAGAATGGGACAGGACCTCTAGTGGCTGTTTTCTCTGACGCATCAGAAGTACAACATAAGAACATAAGAACATAAGAGACGCCAATGTTGGATCAGGCCAAAGGCCCATCCAGTCCAACACTCTGTGTCACACAGTGGCCAGAAATACCAGTGCCATCAGGAGGTCCACCAGTGGGGCCAGGACATTAGAAGCCCTCCCACTGTTGACCCCCCCCAGCACCAAGAAGACAGAGCATCACTTGCCCCAGAGCCCCTAGCTATACCTTGTGGCTAATAGCCACTGATGGACCTCTGCTCCATATGCTTATCTAATTCCCTTTTGAAGCCATCCATGCTTGTAGCACCCACCACTTCCTGTGGCAGTGAATTCCAAGTGTTAATCACTCTTTGGGTGAAGAAGGACGTCCTCTTTCCTCATAGGGAAAGTGTTCCAACCCTTTTATCATTCGAGTTGCCCTTTTCTGCACTTTTTCCAAAGCTATAATATCCTTTTTAAGGTGTGGTGCCCAGAACTGCACACAGTATTCCAAATGAGGTCTCACCATTGATTTATATAGGGGCATTATTATATTGGCTGATCTGTTTTCAATACCCTTCCTAATAATCCCCAGCATAGCATTGGCCTTCTTTATTGCAGTCACACACTGTCTCGACATTTTCAGTGAGTTATCCACTACAACTCCAAGATCTCTCTCTTGCTCAGTCTCTGCCAGTTCAGACCCCATCAATGTGTATTTATATTTAGGATTTTTGGCTCCAATGTGCATCACCTTGCACTTGGTCACATTGAACCCCATTTGCCATGTTGACGCCCACTCGCCCATCTTTGACAGATCCCTTTGGAGTGCCTCACAATCCTCACTGGTTTTCACCACCCTGAACAACTTTGTATCATCTGCAAATTTAGCCACTTCACTGCTTACTCCCATCTCCAAATCATTAATGAACAAGTTAAAAAGCAGTGGACCAAGTACTGATCCCTGCGGTACCCCACTGCTTACCACCCTCCACTGAGAAAATTGCCCACCTACACTCACTCTCTGTTTTCTATGAACTAGCCAGTTTTTGATCCATAAAAGGACTTGTCCTTTTATCCCATGATTTTTGAGCTTACTTATGAGCCTTTGATGA